GCCACTATAGATTCACCAACTTAGCACACACTTACCACGTGCCACAGGTGTCAAAAATTGGAGGCAGGCCTCCGTGTGTTGCAGTATTGCGAATTTTGGCATGGGACAAATACTAATATATAGGGATAGATTTTTTATTTACTGGACTTGTTCCTGTCTACATGTTCTATGAGCTTGTCCGCTTTAATGTTACCATCGACGAAGCGGCGGTCGTATCCATAAGGTGGGATTTAAACCGATACGGAAATCTTGACCGTCACTTCTTACTATACAGGTGGTTAAACACAATCTGTCAAAAGAAACTAAATTATACTTCAATTAATAATCTTATAATAACACTCGGGTAAATCTGTGTACGATACATACGAGTATATAGTTGTGTTATCGATATGGATTGTTCACACGATCATGCTCTCAATTTGATTGCTGCAATAAATCACAGAAAACGACATTGTCAATTGTTCCCGTTGTATACTGTTCCCGGTAGTCGTAATGATGATAGTGCTAATAAAATAAGGACGTTGGTTGTAAAGGATTTCACACATCAGTCTCAACATACGATCGAAGCACTACATGTGCGTAATTCACGGCGTCGGATTCCAATAGCTGGTAACTTGCTTGAAAAGGTACGTAACGCACATTTAGTGACAGTGCTGTCTGGTCAATGTGATTTGTGTGCCTTGTGCATGTGCCACACGTCGATCGGATTCTGTTTAGAGATTTTTAATTGAGAGATATTTGACAGGTGTAAACGTCGCGATAGCACGAATGCATTTTCACATAAAATATATAATTTTATCAAAAACAACCAAGGTTTACAATATTAAATAATTAAGGTTGTTGGGCCACCATAACATTTTCCGTCAATTTTTCGAACCACACCCTGAGTAGAGTGCTACAGACTCAAAAGGGACTCGGACGCCAGAGCTACTGCCGAGATGCATCAACCAATGGATCGGAAACATTGGTTAAAATTCATTGTAGACTTGTAATGAAATACCCCCAAGTTTACGTGTATTGTAGCGACAGAGGATTAATACATGACAGACGTTCTGGGAATACCACACCGGAGTCTGCACTACCGCCACTTACATTCGTACATACACAAGTCTGAACTGCCAAATTATCAGGAAAGAATAAAAAAAAACAAATATAAACCAGAGATTAAGTGAATAACATGAAAGGAAGTAACACATCCATGGAATGATAAATAATGTAATCGACTCATATAGTAACTGAATTTCAGTTTATTAATTACAGGTAGCTATATATATAGTGTGTGAACAAATATACGATTCAGCAATTTTTGATCAATATTTTGCCAAGGGTTATCGATACGTCGGCTTCTTTGTACATCATATCCGTTGACATCTGTGACACCGTGACAGTTGTGGTGTTTAAGCAAGCTTATCTTCCGGCTTTTGCACGAAATGTGACAATTTTTCTTCTAATTTTATAAAATAATTTGGTTACTGATCGTCCCCGTTTGTTATAAATATAAACCAAATTGGAGCTTTCCGGCGTGTTAACGTTACCTGTGATTTAGCGCGCATGCGCGAATAATTGCAAATTGTCTGTGTTATTATTATAATGCTCAATGAAACGCACTCTATGTATGGTTGTTAAGAGACATCAGGCAGTGAACACGTAAACAGCGACCAACGCCTGTCATGTCTAAGTACCGAGTGCAGGGAATTCAGGTGAAAATCATGTGAAATTGGGTTTATTTGGGTTCAAATATTCACGCTTGAGAATGACACGAAACGTGTTTCCTATTTAATCGGATTACATTTCCTAAATTTGATTAAAAAATAATCTGATTTGACATTGCGGTGTAAAAATATCGTAAATGTAACGAGTACGATTTCTGATGGATTACCGCATTTCGTTGAATGGTCGCACGACATAGTAGGTATGAGCACTCAGGGCACTTGGGTAATTTACATAACAACAGTGTTCTGTATATTGACACAAGTATATCTTGTTAGCCTAGTACTTGTATCCATAGAATTAGCGACCTGTTCGATTTTTGTATCAGTAAGTATTGACGGGTCGATTTCGTCTTATTTTTTCCCTTAGCATCCTGAACAGGAGGGGGATGTTGACGACCAAGGTGGGGAGTACAGCTCCCAGGATGGCGATTACGATGAGGAACCGAGCCAGTGGGAATCATTTGACACCAGCGCCTTTAATTTAATGTCGCCGACAATGGACGTTATGGCGCATCACAACGGACAACCTCTACACAAGGAAAGCAAGGGGAAACTGATCACTTTCTACCGAAATGGTGATAGACATTTTAAAGGTCTGACAATTCCGGTGAACCATCGAAACTTTTCAACATGGGAAACGCTTTTGGTTTATTTGAGCGAGAAGATCACCTTGCCTTACGGAGTTCGTCATATATATACATTGAACGGGAGAATGTTAGGAGATATCTCTGAACTTGAAGCCGGGAAAGGATACGTGTGCGCTGGAGGGCAGTTTGTATCCCAGATCCCGTACGGTAAATCCTCAGAACGATACTGGCATAACCGTAAACCGACTGGCGGAATACGGAAGACTGATAGACCTTTATTTAAACCCGCTGGCATGACGGGTGTACCCAATTTATCCCCTCAACCGCTTTCAAGATTAAGTAATGAGTCACCGACAATGAGACACAAACCTAGGATTATAACTGTTTTAAGCAATACACACAGAGACAGCAAAGCCAAAATATTGCTCAACCCCAAGACTACGCAAAGCTTTGAGCAGGTTCTACGAGACATGACGCAGGCACTGACAATGAGGTCACCACCGATACAAGCACTTTATACGTGGAAAACCGAGGAACGAGTAAGTATTGACTCTATTATACTTAAAAACTAATAATACTAAACAAATTATTAAATATTTACAACTCTGCACTGTTTCATGGCAAACGCGTTCACAGTTTAAATGGACAATTAACATTCGTATAGAAATGAATATTCTCCCTACACGACATAATTCCGTTTTAATGGAAGTATGAAGTGTCGTGACCCTTACTATTAGTTGCTCGGGTCACGAGGGCCACGTTTAAGTGTGCTTAGTTGTGGTTACCTTATAGCAGGTGCTTCGCGTCAAAACAATGTCGGTCTTGCTTTAACTCGCGTATTCTTCCTATAAACCAGGGATGCTTTCAAGGCTGAGCGCGAAAGAGGTGTATCTCGAAGGTACAACGCCCGCTCATTAAACGGGATAGTACTTCTATAGGTGTGGGCAGATACAATGCACGATATACATTATTTTTTTGTTATTTCGTTTGATCGATATACATATACTGCATATTGATAGTTCCGCCATATCCAATACTATATAGTTATTGGTATTATAACAGATTGATCGCCGGAGCATTGTCATCTGTAATTGGCGAGCCCAATATCTCCACAGAGTAACAGTGCGTTCCAGTATTCCCACAGCATTGGTAACCACGGAAACTTGCGCTTATCTATACCCTCCCAACAACAAATTTGAGATGTTTCTTTTTAATTCATTTAATATCATAAATCAAATAAAAGAACAACAACGAGTCTGACCTCTGACCCCATGAGGTTGACAACACAAACATACGGTAGCTCTAACATAAAACCTAAATCATACAAATCGTGTAGTGCTTGTGCGTTACTGTTTGCCGAGCGTACAGGTTACACACAATCTAGCACTCTTATAATAGCAACCCCATTCAGGTGTTGGACTCCCTTGGGGAGAATCATTTTTTTACTTCATTACGCTTTCTAACCCTGCTATAGTTAGAAATGGACAACAGGTGCATACAAACATGTCCTTAACAATTGACCAAACTAAATAATAAAATATTGTGTTCTGCGAGAATGTTTCACCCTAACAACATTCTTCCAATCACGAAGTTAAATTAGTTTTATTGTTAAGAAATGGTGCTGGTGAGTAAATGAATAAATGTTTTTTGGTTTTTTTTTGCGGAACGTTTTCAGCATTTTCTATTTTTCGCGTCAACTGTTTTGAGTTGTTTTTATAATTAATAAATAACAGGCTTATATTACCAATTTTGACGCTAAATTCCGAAGAGACTTAGTTACCTGGCCATTTGCTTGTAGCTCAGTTGCCAAGGGTGGAAGTGTGCGATTGATAGATTGAATGCGACAAACGCCATGACAACGCAACCATGGTTACGGAAATACAAACTCTACGTCGCCGAGATGTATGCAACATTGAGTGTCTGCACGCTATTTGAGTATGATGCCATTCGTAAACTCGTGTGTGTTGGCCAATAAACTTTAATCGTGATTGACTAAGTCCAGTATTATTGACACTCGGACCGAAATTACCGAACATTTTGCGATTTTCAAGTAGTACTAGGAAAAATTGTAATTGTTCTATATCTTTCGTTCAAACTGATGACGTAATTACCTCGTGCTTCTCGTGAATAGTAATGTTGATTTTACTTTGAAACATATCCAATGTTCTATTCATGGGCGTAACTCTGTTTACATAGGATAGCTTTGTTGAGTCGTGTACGCTATCTGGGTATGCTAGAATGTATTGTTTGTAAAATATGCTTTACAAAACTGGGTAAATATTTTTACTTTTCAACTAAAAATACCTATTTATTTCCGTTATATTAATTTGAGGTGTAACACTATGTTGCACCACAGTCCTAGTTGTGAGGACGACTTAAACTTACTGACAAGCTGAGAACTAAATCTGTATGTGAAGTTCCTGTTAAAAATAATTACTAAGCTCCCTTTTTATAAAACTTACTTAAATATTACACTAACCCCGATTCAACAAAATCCAGTGTTAATGATTTACAGAATTGTTCGCGAAATGACATTAGTTTTGGCTATAAGGCTACGAAGACAAAATATCAAAACTTGTTTCCATGGAAACATATTTGGCTATGGCATCAGTGCTGATGGGAAGAACACATCGACTCCCAGTCGAGTTAAAATAGAATGTTGACACAACAATATTCAATACACGGACATGTATGCTATAAACCGTCATTATCATGTTCAGTAGGACTAGGACTTACTCTGGGTGACCGCTATTTATTGGTTTAATGTAACTATGATAAGTAAGATAATGAAATGCCTTCCACCACAACAGCGGTTGTTGTGATTAATGCGGGTTACTGTTACCCGGAAAACATAATTTAGACGGTTTGCATCGCGTCGAGCACAATATTCTAGCTAGAACTATATTTATTGTACTCTCTCCGGGTACTACATTGAAACTTTTCAACGCCAAAGTCAAATTTGTCAGCATTCAAATACAAAACCGCATAATTTTTCGAAAATCAAAAATCTGTACACCATAGGATATTATTTCCATTTGATTATGAATTAACTAAAAATGTTGAAATTACATGCAATATGTAACACCTAAATTGTTTAGATGGTTAACTGACGTAAAACATGATATCGACAATCATACTTGAGGAAATCAACATGCAAACTAATTAGATACGGATTTCCGATCAATAGCGTTGATTGGCACACCGAACAATTGCAACACTACGTATGATCATACACCTTAAATGGTCTATGGTATGATTTAGGAGTGACTTACACGAGTGTTTATCATTCGCTAACGCATCTCTAATCTGGCCAATCAGAAAAACGTTTGTTTATTTATTAAACCTCGTCCCAGGAGAATTAATGAAATGAGCGAAGCGTATATCTTTTTCAAAAGATTGAATATAAGATTCAGAAGTTCTTGAGGAAGCAACATGGGAAAAATAATTGGTTTGTGATTCAGACATTCTTTTAAAATGTATTAAGCATGATATTATAACGACCTATACATCACCTGAAAGCTTAGTTATAGGAATAAGGTAGTGCAAATTCCGTACCTATGTTTTTCTATCTGACGGAAAATTTCGCTATTGAGAAAACACCATTTTTTAAAACATTTTCAGTCGCGCGAATGACCTTTGAATTGTAAATGATATTTGTAAAGCTGTGGTTTGCATCTCGATTTTTCTGCATTTGTCGTTGTTCTTTTAGCAACGACCAAATAACTACAGACAAGCTACCCACAATTCATTGTCTTTGGCTGCCACAGTACGAGTCATCAATCTGTAAAGAAGCTGAAATAAAAATGTCTGAAAAGCACCGATTTTATGAATGAAAATATACACGTTTTAGGTCCTAGTGTTACAATTTAAACCTCAGACCACAATAAAATATTAGTTATATGAGTTGATGTAGACCACACCTTAAAGTGGTCGTCAGAACGTTCATCTTCATCAAATGCTCTGAAGCGAAGCCACGTCCTTCACTATGTAGGATAGGACATAAAGTGTGTGGCTATTGTGCTCGTAATGTGTTCTGAATAGAGGGTGTTGTCTTCGCCATCATAGACCGAGGTTGGAGACCTGACTCATTTTGAATAGTTCGATCTTTAATGTTTAGTTCTTGTGAACTCGTCAATTGTTACACGCACTAGTACCCAACGTACTTACACAGTAGCATTGTTTACTAGTATATTCATAGGCGTTTTTTTATTTATGAGGAGCGAACAACACATTACTGTCGCGTAAGTTGGATTTCGGCTATTGACATGTTTTTCTATGTAGTGTGAGTGTACTGAAAATATACGTATATATCAGGGACAGGTCATCCATCATATAGAAGAGGCCTGTAAAGAAATGCGACACAAAACAAACATATCTAGAATGTGGAGGTTTCGCTTTTTCTTTTTTAAGTTCATATATCTTGGTATCGTTCATGCCAACACGTCATGGCGTTTAACTGGTTTGAAAACTGCAAACAGTTAAGATCAAAATCTTAACCACGGATTACAGCGTTTGCTACAATAGTAACAATGGTTCCGATAACAATAGAGTCGACAGGGCACTTGGAATTATATAGTATTTGTCATAGCTATGTCGATGTCTATGCAGCGTCTCCGAGTCTGCACCGCAGTCCCGTCGCTTGCCCTCATGTCTTTAATTAAACAACCCACAAGGCGTGCTCGAGCATTTGCTCGTCACATTGCAATTAAAAATCACATTAAACACTCTGATTGGTTAATACATTTAAAGAAGAATCGAAACTGTTGAATTGGTTATCTTGACGCGGAGGTCATCTGTGTTTGGCCGTGTATCAATACTCGCTAAGGTGAATTCATTGTGTATGTCACTATTTTTCACGAAACCAATCAAAGTGGAAAATTCTATTTAGAACATCCGTCGTTGCATCACAAACGTGAATTAATCTGATATCCAGCGTTTTCTAAATGTAACATTCATTTTAAATGGTTGTAAAACGTGCTATTTCCAGACTTTGCTTTGATGAATGCAGGATTTTTGATCGGGAACACATCTACAGGAACGTCATTAGTAATTTGCGTTGATGGATATGGGATGCGCGCGCCCAGTGCCCGATGGGTGATTTTATTTCATGATTTTGATGGATGTTTTATCAAATCAAGCATGCCACTCACGCTTCTCTCTCTCTCTGTTATCATTGCATCTAAGCACGGCTTTCCTTCTCAAATCAAATAATTTCCATTTGAGTTGAGACTATCACAAAAAACACTTAACTCTCCACTCGGGTTTCCACCCAGTAATCATTACAATTGCTGTATACCGAACGTGTTGCTTAGATTCAGAACATCGTGGGGGCACCAGAGGTCACAGCACCATTCATCTCGAATTGAACAAAGAACGACTCGCTCTGTTTGTATCGGCAGCGGTGTTGCTTAGCAACAAGGGAAATCAACATTTATATACTGTTTATGTTATATATAATCAATACAACTAGTCAACATTTTTACGAATAATAAAAGGAATGTATTTATCGAGGAGAAAACACGGCAATCTTATCATAATTTTACAAAAGAGTCTGAGTTATTTCTATTTTCATTTTGCCATCAAATTGCAATGTGGCTGACATTTATTCACGTTTTAAAATTATTGTAATTTTTTACTGTGAACACAATTACTGTACTCAATTTGGTAATACATATTTTCACAGTGCAACATCACCGTGAATTAATTGGAAATAAAACACACCACATGATTTGGTATTCTGTCATTATTCGATCATAAATAAGACTTGGTTACAACTGTCGTATTTTGGAGGGGGCGCTCTTTAGGTTAATAAATTACGTCATGCAGATGACATATCTTTGCTGTATACCCGCCAGTAAGGCATACATCAGCATGACACACAGTCACGTGACATGCGTGTTTCATATCTTAAGTAAACATAAATCATGTACTGAATCATTTCACATCGCCTGACACCACACACTGCTTTTGTTGCACAATTTTTGAAAATAATATCTCAGCCCGCATAAATCAATTTGCCTCAGTTTGTGTTACTATAAAATGACTAATTTTCACTGTGTTTAAATTTCGCTGATTTACCATTTCAGGCTTATTCAATGGGTTTTAAATTCACGGTTTTATGGTTTAGTTAATGTGTTCTATGCTAAATTTGACATATTCACCGGGTTTTAATTTAGCGCATTTTCCAGTCAGCGAAATAAGAAAAATTAAAACCCAGTGAATAATTACCCCTTTACAAGTAATCAATTGGGGTCTTCAATTTGGTGGCAAATTACGTCACTTGTATGCCTTGATATTGGAGAATGGAATTTATATTAGATATTGGAATATACTGAACATGCG